TATATATATATATAGTCACAAAGAGGTGGTTTTTAGTCCCATCCAGTGAGTGGATAATGGGTACCCCTATCCTCCAATAGGCACCCCTTTGTGACTGCTGGTATATGTTGTTTCATTTTTGTGTCCATACTAAACTAAGTTAGACTTCCACATGGCACGTTGCAGGGGTGTTGTGTATAGGAGCATGTGGGAACTTGGGCGAGTTTGATGCCGGAGTCGTTTATGCCAGTGTGAGTGGTTTGTAGTACGGGTCGTTGGTCTACACAGTGTGAGGATCGTAGGCAATCGTTCTTCTCGTTGAAACTCCCATGAAATGGCAATCCCCACATATAGAACCCTTCAAACAAAACTCATTAAGTGTTTGAGGTGATTGTTTGTTGGGCCAAACTTCCAAGCCTTTAAAATACTTTGGTTTCCTGGGCGTCCACTGCCCTTTTCGGCGTGTTTTGCTATGTTCCCCTCGCTCGTGCGCATTCCGCGGCCGTCTCTCGAGGCAGCCGTTGAACCACCCGAGGGCCTTCTCTCGTCAAGGTCAAGTGTATGTACATGCCACTGGGATGAACGAACTTCGTCAAACTGTAGAGTGGAGAAACCCGTGTGACGGAGAAACGCATGCGTCGTCTAATAGAACTAACCACAGCACAACGGTTGCCAAGAAAAGGACTGGGAACAGCACGTTTGCCAGATAGTCACCTGTCACTGGCATGTGCTACTTGGCAAATCGATGCAAATCGTTTGACATGATGCCACTAATGTTTGTTTGAATCTGGGAGCGCAGAACGGAGAGGGAGAGGGGCGACGTTCTTCGGATCTTCAAAGAGCCTCAAGGAGTTGTGCGTTTTACACAGATTGTGCACAAAATGGTTTCCAATGGTTTCCAATTTTTGTTTAAATAATGCGACTTTTAAACAGGTACCAATTGGGAACCCCAAATTGACCAGCTGTGGTTTTTCTCGGGAAAAAATCACTGCAAAACAGAGACCTCACCGGTCCTGAGGCCAAAGATGTGCTTAACCAGGAGCCGTTAGCCGCTCGGCAGACACGACGCGGATCGTGGGAAGACTCGGATGAACTTGAAGAACTGGCCCTGGTTTCTTCCAAAGATCGCAATGCCCTTGTTACTAGTAGCTTCTAGCTACTAAGTAGTAATGGTATAGTAGCGATGCCCGTGTTACTAGCAGCTTCTTGTTACTAGTCGTAATGCCAGGAACTACGTTCGTAGCGTCGATCGCTCCGTTCGGTAGCGATGCAGCTTGCTGTTCACGTCGCTTCTTTGCCCAAGAATCCCATTGGGGAGACGCCGCTCCTTGCTGTTCGAGGCCATAGGCCAAGCCGTGCGCTTCCACCTCTACGAGGATCGGGCGGGGCTCGGCGCCGATCAGTGCTATGCCATTTGAGCCCAGCGGAGCGCCGAGTGCCGCGAAGGCGACGACGCCGCGGACGTCGCCGGCAGGGTTTGGACATGTTGAAAGCCAAGGACTGCGGAGTCACTGGAGGTCAAAAGGTGCCAAAACGACACAAACGGGTCAATGCCATGTTCACCCCACAGGCAAAGCATTTAAGACACCATGGCCATGATCCAGCTTTTCTTTCGGAGTGACAGCAGCTTGGAAAGCTTTTGAGTCACGCGAAACGACCTCGAGCTGCTCCCAGCGCGTTTCACCACGCGTGAGGGAAGACAGAAGCGCTCGTGACAGAAGAAAGGAGGCGCTCAGAAGAAGTGTGACAAAGCAAGAAACCCGTTCAAACACCATGGGCCGGGCAGGAGTCTTCCCATTTTTGTGGGGCTTCTGAAGTACGTTGAGAATACATGAAAATGCAATTCCTTTTGGTGCCAACCTTGGCTACCCATGGCTACCAGCACCGGCCATTACTTGATGTTCTGAAGTGCTCAATCAGCGTAGTCCCAGTGATGGACCCGGCCTCGCCGCGGCACGCCACCGCTTCTTTTTTCCGCGGGCCAACCACATGAGGGAAAGCAAGAGCTGCCAATCTCGACGTCTTTTGGAGATCCAGGGGATCTGTTTAAGGCAATGGGACCCGGCGGGCTGGCGCCTACATAAATAGTCTCCAATCACCTTCTCAGAAGGTATGTGGATCCATAGGGTATATCATAGATATAGTCAGCTTGGAGCAGATAGAATATGATATCGTATTGGAACTATCCAGAAAGCAATGGGAAATTGGTCATGTTTTTGGATTGGTGTAATAATTAAGAGTTGTTTCTCTTTTGGTGTGTTTGAATCTTGGCCAATAAGGCCGCAAAAATATATAATGTGCATTAGGGAACATTAATTTCTCGCACGTATTCCCAGGTGCTTTGATCTTCAATTGTTGGGTCTACTGAGTGCTACCGGCATGGTAGATACCTGCAAGAAACACCTATGTACCACAACCATCCACAACCAGTACTTCCTGCAGGGCGTCAGTGTCGCCTACATGCACATCCTTAGAAGCCCTTACTTCGAGGGTGGCTGGCATGGCTGGGGCGTTGTGGGATAGGCCGACCTTTGCTTACCTCCCAACAACGTGCAAACAAAATCAATCAAACAAACAGCTTTGAACCAGGTACGACCAGGGTGGGTTGGCATTGCATGCCAGTGCTTGTTACTGACTTGATCTCATCTCAGGCTTTGTATCACCGCCTGACATCCGCTGCATGGATATTGACCCCTCCACTCCACTCATCAGTTGAGGTTACCTACTAGGCCTGAAGATGCTGCACAGACCGTGCCTATCCCACGACCTGAGGTGTGGATCCATTGTGGTGGGCCGCACGGACCTCACGGGCAACGATGCCGGCAGCGTGTCGCCTGGAGACGTGAAGATGTGACGTGAAGATGTCGGGGCGAGGGTCGTGTGGGTCGTGTCGTTTCGTTGGAGGAGTGGTTCGGTCGGTGGAGAAGCTGTTTGGCTGGCGATGGAGGATCGGCTGCGTCTTCGCAGCGCGGCCGGCCGGTGGCGCGCCGGACGGCGCCGGACGGCCTAGCTGGACCGCTTTTTGGAGCGAAAGTGAAGATAGTGAAGGGGCTGGCGGTTGGTATCTACACTCTGAGTCACACATCACTTGGTGGATGGCATGTTCCGTGGAAGACTACGAGGGGGATGTTCTACTTCCATGTGTTCTGTGTTCCAACAGGAGTGTTTGGTATGACAACTACCGATGCATCAGATGCCCTTTGGATCGCCAGTCAAATCCCTCAGCGCTTTCTTCGTGCGTTCCTGAAGCCTTCTCGTCAAGTTCTCTTCAGTGTAAGCGACCAGGTTGGTCGGTGTTTCACCCTAAACTCTGGAAGTTTGGAAGTGGAATGTAGCTAGTTGGCTCCGGGTCCCGAAGGGCTGTGGGTCAAAAACCAAGCTATTTGTTGAACAGCATGGACTATTAAGGAGGTCAACCTAGCCTGGTTGAAGAATCCGGGTTTTGATCCACAGCCAAATGTGGCCGTCCTTTCCCTATTGACTGGTCGCTGTCCTGCTGGAATCGTCGAAGCATCCTTTTCGTCGGACGTTCCGAGCTGGATGAGAAGCCTGAAAAGTAAAGGCAGGGGTGTTCTTATTTCACTATATAATATATAATATACTATATTATAGATAGATAGATAGATAGATAGATAGGAGGGGAATATCCAATGAATATTCAGGTCAAGGGAACGAATAGGCTGTTCCAAGAGTTCTGTAAAAAGGTTCCCGCTGTTTCGTTTCGTGCGAGCGCCAGAAAAGAGAGGGCCGAAACTCCGCAGAGTTCTTGTGATTTCAGAGTGGGCGGCAGAAATCCCTAAGATCTATAATAAGGTTTGCGGAAGTTGTTCCTGCATGAACGAACTCCAACACAAAAAGTGGTCGGGCCTCCTCATGTCAACTGGGTCGTGAACTATGCTCCACACACGGTCACCGAGCTCCGTGTTACTGCTGTGTCCACTGCCGAGGTGGCACACCGGTGGCGAAGCTTCTTCCAGTCGGCGCCCCAGAACAGTGACGTTAGCATTGGAGTGGAGAGGCTTTTGATGAACATAACCCCGCAGATGAAAAGGTTGTTCAATTCAAATGAGGGGGGTTAAGTGATCAGAGTAATCCCATACACTCCATGGGACTGGAATATATGCCTACATTTACCCCCTGGCACCACCCCAACTGATCGGCAGTCCTATGGCAGTCCCGTTTGGTTCGCGTCTGGGACTCAAATGTAAAGTAATCAAGAGTCCGCGAGCGAGCGGTGCCATTGAAGTGTTTTCCACATGTGAGTTCACCGGCAGCTGTGCGGCTTCTTGGGGCCGACGCCGAGGGGTTTGGGTTCAAGCCCCACAAGGCCATCTAGCCCAAGAGCAAAAATGCACGTCGACATCGAGAGAAGGTCTCAGAATTTTGGGTTGGCCGATTTCACCCCGTGTGTTGCCGGGGCCCCCCTGGTTTTGCGGATCAGGTTAGCTGTTGTTACTGGGTCAAGTCCCAAACTGGTCTCGGCTTTCTGGGAACCGCAAATCCAAGTTGCCTGGATGGACTTGGATATGTGTGGAAGGTGCTGTAAACAGCGTGCATGACCTTCGGTCAGTCCGAAGGAAAGATCATGTTGACATAGGATTAACAAATCACCAACTAATTTAAACAACCCCCTCCGGACAATGTTTCAACAACCTCTAAATAAAGCTAACCACCTTCCCAAGGTGTTTAATCCAGTAACTTTATGTTGTTTATATTGTGTCTGGCGGATTCAGCAGCGGACGTTATGCTTTTCCTGTTCATTGTTGATAGGTTGCCAATGGAATTTGCACGAATAATTTGCGTATTCTAGTATTCGGCGGTAGGTCTTTGGTGCACATGATGGATGGTTCATTGCTGTCGCATGAAGCACCACAATAGTTTTTGCTCTAAAACTATAAGACTTGCTTTGGGTCCGACAATGCCTGAGCTTTATATACTGCTTCGGCCTTTTATGTCTGGATCAACTGACTCTTTCTTTGGAGTTCTTATGTGTTCCATTGTGTTCCTTTCCTCTTCCTTTCATCACCTGGAGTCACCAGAGCCCAAAACCCTTTGATGCAACGTGCTGATTAATCCCTTGCTCATCAACGATCAAGAGCTGAATGCAATCACTCTGGAAATGGTCCATGAAGCCACCACATCCTAAATAAGTTGTACAAGTTGTACCCATCTTTTTTAATGATGCTAAGTGTATTTGCTGGCTGACACATCCTTTAGCTCTATTTTGTGTTTGTGCCTTTCATCGCGGGAATTCGTTGGCTCTTTGTTGAATCGTTTGCTCTTGATTTCATGATCTGGAATCACCAATCCAGAAAACACAGAAGTACTGACCCGCTCTCACCTCAATTCCAGGAAAATCAACCTCCAGTATATACTAATTATATAACCCCCTTTGACTTCATCTCAATTCCTGGAACATATTCTTCCCTGTCATCTCAATTCCAGAAATCTCTCCAGAACTAGGGAATTTGTGGGTTGTGACTATTTAGGGGCACAGGGGGGTTCCCCCAAAATACTCTTGTCTCATGACTCATGGTTTGATTCGCATCTATCTTTGACCTGTCCATTTCTACATGGTGCTGGGCCCAGTTAGGCCAATCACTGCTTTTAAGCCAAGGTGTGGAAGGTTCATGGCTCTCAGAGACAAACCACTTGAGCCACTTGAGCGCCAGTGGAGCACCCTGGAACCCGTAGACCTTATTTGAGGTTCCTACAGATTTCTAGCACCTTCTCATGGTGAGGGAGACAACGGGTTTGTCAACGATGGGCGAACTCTGCCAACCGCGACGTAAAAGCCGCCCAAGCAAGCCGCTCCAACCGACCCCCGCAATGACACAAAGAACCTTATTTTCTCAGAACTGGGTCCAAAGTCCCAGGTGAACTTGAGCGAAATCCAATACTGCCAGAGGCAAACGGAAGGGTAGTGCACAGAAAGGGTTTTGCAAAAACCTATTCTACTAACATCGTGGAAGGCGCAGGACATTCGTAGAACCCAAGGCTATTCGTGGACAGTTCGTGGAATGGTGGGCCAGTAGGAGAACTGACTGCAACGAAATCCCAGAAACCTTCGCAGAACTTTGTGGAAGGTGTTTTTGAAGCACTAACTTCGTATAAACGATTTTTGCTGACCCCCTTTCTCCACACACCCTCCATTTAGCCTTCATACTGGGGGACTTACATGATGTAGTTCCTTGGCCAAACTCCGACAATATATGTTTAACATGCTTTAAATACTTTCCCGAAAAGCCTGCAATGACAGGTCATGTGAAGGTCATGGCCAAGTGAGTCCCAAACCTACACACAAGCATACCATGACCTTGCGATCATCGAAACCGATGAGAAGTGGCATGGTGTGACCTTCGGAACCCGTGTCCGCCGCTTCCTTCGGCTCGGAATCCCCAGACCACCGCGGGTTCCACCGGTCGCCGGTCGCGTCGGTGCTGAGCCGAAAGACTCAGGTCCCATTTTCTTGGACCAGTGCTCCCTGCTGGTGGCCCTGGCGGGTCTGTCTTGCAAGTCGAATGCCATTGGCCACCAGTCATCTTGGTAGTATGTCTACGTCGGAATGGTCGGGCTGCGTGTTCTGCGACGAGGCTTTGTTTTAGATAGTAGTATTGCCCATGTATGTCCATTGGTTTTGGGATTTTCCCATAGTCTACTAGGCTACTCCAGTATGACTTTAATAGAACCCATGGGCCGGGGTAGTTCGCTCGGATGCGAGGTCTGGCAGCGGCGGTGCCCATACAGCGTCGCCCGCCGTAGTGGCAGCTGCCGGGGAGCTTTGAGGCTGAACGTGGGCACATGAAGGGTTGGAACTTCGAAAATTTCCCCAACATAGGTTGACTCTAAGCTGGTTCGCGAGCCGTTGTTTTGCTAGGCGCAACTACGCTAAACCAGCACAGTAGGACTTCATAGGGTTTTGATTCCAACATAGGTTGACTTCATAGGGTTGGGTCTTAAAAAACATGTCCGAGTCCAACTTCGTTTGGGAACGGATGGGTGCCATGGTGCCGCCGTTGCGACAGGGATGACAGGGATCCAGGATGGCGCCTAACTTGGGAAAGAACAGTCATTTGAATTTGTCATCTTGTTTGACCGCCCAGGCCCGGGTTTAACCATTGACCAAAACCGGTTTGCGTTGGAACCATGTTTAACATGTCTTTCCGTTCTGTGAACAGCCCGACTGGTCCCTCAAAACCGAATTGGTTCGACCATGTTCGACCCTAAAACCCTCTATATGAGACCCCAGATGCCTCCATATGAGCGTCCAGGGTGGCCATGTGTCGCTGAATGTACGTACATTGTTGTGCTTTACTGTACCAAAACTTGGAAAGTTGCACCATGTGGCCTTCAAACAAGCCACTAGAAGAAAAACAGAAAAACAACAAATCTATAGATTGCAGTAAAGAATGTGATTTCACGAAAGGTAGCCCTTTAGGGGATACCTTGAGTTTGTCTTGCGAAGCAAGTGTTGGGACGTCCGGGTCTAATAATTGATCGCTCAATTCAGACCCCCCCCCCTCGAATTGATTTTTCAATACAGACCCCGCCCCTCCCCCCCTCTAAAATCAATTCTCTCCTGGAGAACGTCTTCGTGAGCCTCTCATGATTTCAGGATAGTTGAAACCCTCTTGAACATTCAGAAAGAGTTCAAATGAAATTCTAATCACGAAAGGTGTTCCCCCCCGAGGGGATACATACCTAGAGTTTGTTTTGTGAAGCACGTCAATTCTCTCCTGGGGAGCGTCTTCGTGAGCCTCTTATGGTTTCAGGATAGTTCAAATCCTATGATGTTCCGATTCAATGCTCACCGATGATCTGAGCCATGGGGCAAGTTTGTTTTCCTAAGAATCTTTTTGAACATTTCGAGAGCATATGTTTGAACATTTAGAGTGCATTGAACATATATTTACGAAAGGTCGCCTCCGAGGGGATAAATCACCATGTCGAACATTGCATTTTTGTTATTGCCTCTCGCGTTCTCTTCTCTTCCCGCTGTCCTACCTTTCGTGTCTCCCTCCTCTCAAGTGGTCCATACATTCCAAACTCGCTTTGGGCTTGAAGCCCCGAGGTCTATGCCCAACTGGTCTTGTGGGGGCACCTGCGAAATGCGCCAAGCGCGCATGAGGGCTGACGTCAGGATTTGCAGGACAAGGCTCAATTACCCCATCATCGGCTGGTGGGAATATCAACTTAGCAACGGATAGTTGTTTTCCAAAGTGGTCAAGATATCCACGTGCATGTGCTTGGATACAGGCACTTTGTTGAGCTTTCTTTGGAATGGCCAGCTGCGGTGTTGGGGTATACGCACATAGACTTCCCCTTGCCAGTGACGTTCTGTTCCTGTGAAGTTCAGGTAAGGCATATATGCCAATTCCAAATGCCAATCAGTTTGGATTCTTTCATTTTCTAGGTGTTCGGTTTGATTTGCATTCTTCCGGATTCCCATGTGTGTTTTTTGTAAGGATCGGATTCATAACGCCCCCCCCAGAAGGTTTACTATTTGGGGGAGGTCAGAAAAGTGCAATTCGACTTTAATTGGGGGGGTCAATCAGGAGAGGTCACCAAGACTAAATCTCTTCATGACGAGAGGCACCAAAGATTAAATCTCTTCATGAGGATCCCCAAGAAGAATATTATTGGTAAGATATTGGGCTCCAATTCCTAGCTCTTCCCTGGTTCCAGCCCTTCCCTGGTGCCGCCCAAGGGAGTTCTGAGCCCCCCGCATGGAAGGTCAACAAGATCAGCAAGGTTTGAGGTACGGGGACTGGTCCAACCATACGGTCGGTGGAAGGCACATCGAAACAAACATGGTCCCAAAACAGTGGACCAAACTAATTGTGGTGAGCTAGTGCAAAGATGTCTTCCATTTTGCGGCCAGGTTATATAGTATTTGTTGAAAGACGTCTATAGTATTGGAGGCTTCAAGGCGGACCAAACGAATGGAATATGTGAATCCTGTACATATACATGTCACCTTTTGATCGTTTCTGTTGTTTCCTGCTGTTCTTGTGGTGGACCCCATGTCCGTAGTCCAAGAAGTGACCTGAGGGATGCTCAATCCCCAACTCACCGCCGTGAAGTCCCTGGATCAAGGCCTGGTGAACCGACAGGAAGTCCGACAGGAAAACCCCCCCCCCCGCGTCGGTTCGCGAATCCCGCCGTCCGAGTTGCAACCGTCAAACGAACCGTGGGCCCGCCGACATGGCTGATTTCGTGCGAACCGGTCACCAAGGGGTTTTCATTGACAACCAATGGGAGTCAGACATGTGCATCCTTCTCATTAGGGCCTCAGAATTTTGCAGAATATCGCGAAGGTCACTGACCCAGTGTTCGATGTCAGATTCCGTCTTGCAATGAGGAAGTTTCCATGCTATCCCAGCAGTTCTGTGTTGTGTTTGAACATGTGTACTATACCATTCGGGTGATTTGCTCTTGTGTGGCTCTGCTCTTGTACTGCCATCCTTTTCAGGTTTAGATATTGGATCCACTGCGCCGAGGTGGGACTGCTTTGCGCCATCCCTGCGGAAGGGCACGTTGGTGTGGAGCCCGGTTCGAGGGTGGGTGGGCTGTCTTAAGGGACGTTCAATTAAACGAATTTGGACGGTGGTCCCTGAAACCGCGGAGAGGAACGTGAGAAGAAAGGCAGATGGGACTGGCCTATTTACCTACATTGGGGTGGTTTCAGGGGTCAATGTAGGCTTATATATTCCATGCATGGATGTTCTGGGGACTGGCACACCCCCTCACCCCTCCGTCGTCAGCTCCGGGTTGGACGCCGTCGCCTTCAGCACAGGCCGCGGTGATCCGAGCTGAGGCCACGGGAAGGACGTGCCGGGAAGGTAGAGACTGCAGTCGACATTGGGCGGGCTAGTCGGATGGGTCAAGAACTATATAGCTTTCATATGCGTGCACTGACCATGCCAGCATGTGCCAGTAGTACCTTTCACTCCTTTGAGTATAGCGTGCGCAACGTAAGCAACGTCGGGATTCGCCCACAGAATGCAGCTGCGAAAAAAAGCGGATGGTGAGTTGGGGGAAACCAGCGTGCCGCGCGGCGACCTTCTTGGGCGGATGCCTTCCATCCTGGAAGTCTGGCACACGATCCGGTTTTAGGAACTTCCTAGAACCTGAGTGACCTCTATTCCTGACCATCAACCACTCAAAATATGGTCCCAACTTCCTATCAAAACAGAGGTCAAACTAGATTTGTATATAATTCGCTGACCAAGTTCTGAAAACTATGCCGGAACAGGTCTGCCTATCCACTATTCTGCCTACGCTGGCGACCGGTCCGACGTCACTCTGTGCTGTGGAAGTGGAAGATGAGACAAACACACCTCACCCGCCCGTCTGAACATCGGTCAAAGGGTGCCCAGACGCGACGTGACGCGACGACGCGACGACGGGACGGCCATGTGTTTGACTGCCGAGATGCCGGCCGGTTTGGGGTGGTGGTGGTGCCAGGGGTTTTTTCTGGGGCGGCATTCCAGTCTCATGGAGTGTATGGGGTGGGTCGAAGCACTTGATTTTGAGAGCTTTTTGGCCTGGTGCCCTTTTATCCCGGGCCCCCTCCTCATGCATCTGGTGACCTGGTGGATAGGATAGAAACCTGTAATAGTGAGTAAACAAGCATCATTGTTGGAGCAAGGCCTACCACTTCCGGCCCCCTCATCATCCACCTGGTGACCTGGTGATAGGATAGACCCAAGATAGGCCCAAGACACGCGCAGGCCATGGAACTTTCCAAACCTTCCTGAAGATGGCTCGCTCGTTCTGATCGCACAGGTGAACAGCAGAGCAATGGTCGCTGGCGATGGGTGCCGTGGATGAAGGAATTGGGTGCAGCAAGGGGTCCTACAAAAGGTGTCCCAACATCTGGATGGGTTTAGAATAGGACCCCTGATACTAGTGGATCCGTGCCATTGGGCTACCACAGCGAGTCTTTTCTGGGGGTTTGGAGTAGTTATATCATTGTGTTATGGGATATAATCTCAATTGACCAGCTCATGGCACTACCATCACCATGTCCATTTGATCCACTTATCACAGAAGGTTGAAGTTTCACTCATCGGCAGCTGAGGCCAACCTTGGGCTGGCCTGGCTGGTCCAAGAGCCGTGGCAGGCAGGCTTGTTGGGTTCAGGAACTGCGTTTTTTTACCCAATGATGCTCCCAGTGGTAGCTACGACTGCTTAAAAGCGACTTGGCCTAACTTAGTCTCTGAACCAAGTACCTTCTCAGAAGCTGGGACTGGGGGCCCGGGTGCCATTGTCGGGTCCAGGTGCCGTACCTGAGGTTCGGCACGGCTGGATCCCCAAAGGGTGAGAATTGGAACCCTCCCCAGTTCCCAGTTCACCCCCGGTGGAAGAGAAACGCCCCAAAACCCCACGCCGCGCCGCGCCGCGCCACGCTCGCGACCGGTGACCGAGCGGGGAGCGAGGGGGTGGACCTGTCAGTTGGTCACCTGATTTGAGGGGAGACGTCGTATGCTTTTGGGGGCACCCCCACTAGAGATGAACAGATATGAACAGATGAAACAAGTATACGCTTACAGCCTTTGTTTCACAAGGGATAAACCCGGCTCGGGAGTTAGACTTGGGACCCCTTGGGGCAGGCCTGAAGGCGGAGCAGCCATTGGTCCAGGCACGAACTGGGGCGAACGAGTTAAGGGGAGCGAGTGAGCGACGTCCTGTCGAGCTTCTCAGGCGACCAACATGCCACACTTGGGGATCAATGGCCCCCCCATTGTTTTGTCCAGGACCTGGTAGGTAGATGGGACTGGAAAAACTCGCTTCGCCTGTCATCAGGGCATTGGCATGACCCGTACAATCGTTTCTTTCATATATCAGTCAGTCAGTCCGAGGCTTTTTGGTTTCTTTTTCATCACCAAGCTTGGCTCCTAGTGCGAAGCTCTTGGTTTCTGCTTTTAAACAACACTTGGGCTCCTTTTCTCCCATCTCCCAGCCTCAGACTGGTCTTCCGCCTCGCCGCCTCGCCTCTTCCGCCTTGACGGTGCCCAGGAGCGGTGTCTTGGATGGACGTGAGCGGACGCTTCGTGCGCGGAGTCCCTGCCTGGTCGGACCGCGCGGAGCGCGCACCGCGCGGAAGGCACGGGCTGGGCGCGGAGCGCACCGCGCCGGACGAGTCCCACACAGCCAACCTGGGTGATCTCTGTTTGCTTTCACACCTGCTCATCGCGTGGAAACCCACAACCAGGCAGACTGGATCTGACGGTAGTGACAGTGAAATCACCTCCGGGTGGAATTTGATCAGAGCATTGCAACAAAGGCTGTGTCACTATACCCAGACACGACGACTAATGGCACTGCCATAGACTGCCGAGAAACGGCCAGGGGTGGTGCCAGGGGGGGTCTGGCTTGATCGGCAGTCCTATGGCAGTCCCATGGAGCGTCTGGGCTCCTCATGGGGTCGCAACTGCCGGCTTTCGCGATGTTGGACGCGGACGCTGGCGTAGGTATATCTTCGTCTCCCATGGACTCTGAATGGGCCCTCCCACTGCCCCTCCTCCATAGTTCATCCATTGTGTTTCTGCGCTAAGGTCCCACTCAAACTCCCCAGACCAAGCTTCAGTCAAATGGGACTTGAATTCAAGTGAGATACTTTCTAAATCTTTCTAAGAAGCCCAAGTGGTTGAGTCATTCAAATTAGATGAGCTTGACAGATGCATTTTGGGGTGTGAAGCTCGCCGAACACGAGCCGCGCTGAGACCCCCCAGCACCACGTCCGTCCGGCGGGCTCAGCGGCCGTCCATCACGCGGGGATCCGAGCCCGACATCGTTGGGCGGGGCACGGCTCCAGAAGGTGGTAGTAACAGGTGCCACGCTACTAGTAACAAGTGCCTTACTAGTAGTAACAAGAAGCTATTAATTAGAATTCTAATCAAATTCTTATTGTTACTAGTAGTAAGGCACTTGTTTCTAATAGCTTTTTGTTACTACCAGTAAGGCACCTGTTACTACTAGCGGGGCACGGCTCCCGAAGGTGTGGGTTTGTGAGCTCGGATTGTTGGGATTCGAAGTGCTTGGTCGTAGGGCCACCCGTTCAAGGGGACGAAGCATCAAGGGGATCCAAATCTTATAAATTATGTATATAGAAACTAGATGAAGCTAGTATGTTGGAGGCCATCGCCATTACTGTAGGTGGAGGCCATCGCTACTAGTATAACAAGGACGCTATACTAGCAGCTAGGGCCTTGTTGTTTTCAGCCAGCTTGGCACGATGAGTCCCTCCCTACCCCGGACAAAGCCCGGTCGTTCTCGAAGTTGTTCATGTTTACATTCCCAGATACTCCATGGGACTAGAATATATGTGCCGACATTGACCCCCCAAACCACCCCAATGTAGGCATAATATGGCATTGTGTGGCATACATGGAGACATTGTTTCTTTCTCGCTTTGAAGAGACATGACCAGCCAACCGAGAGACTTGTCACACCCAAGAGATCAACCAGAGCGACGGCCAACAGCTCTCCAGCGCCTCAGTGGCTTTCCTACTCCAGCCAATGGGTGTGGGCTGCTGCACGATCAGAGTCTTCTTATTTTTCTTCTTCTTCTCGAGATTGTTTTTTTTTGTGTTTTCTTAGCGATGTCGGAAAATTCCCAGTGATCAACAGGTGGGCGACACGCAGACTGCAGTGAGATGAGTCACTAGATGATTCCCTCGGCCAGTCGCGTCGACCGACCCAAAAGGTCCCAAGGGGAGCGAGTCCCAAGTGACCTCAGTTGGTATGTTGTTAAAGTATGTTAAATGTGATGAGATGGGCGAGATGTGAGATTTCCCAAGATGTCCAGCTTCTTTATGGGTGTATGTTTGCTTAAGAAGGTCGTTTTGAAAGAGAAGCGTGTACGGCCAAGTGCCCCCACCTGCTCCCTGCCTGGGTCCAGCTGTGTGGGTTGGTTCTCACCCCGAGGCCTTCTTTGCAAAATTGGCCAGCGGTGAGCTGGAATACCTCCCGGGCGTGGGCTCTCAGGGGGGCAGGTGAAACCGTTGGACAAAGCCGCGGGCTGGTGTAGAAATGGTGTCCAATGGATCAGGTAGCACGAAAAACAGCAATTATACCACAAGGGTCCACAAGGGCACAAGACATTGTAGAACAGGTTGGGTCTTAAGTGATAAGGTTGGATCTTAATTCGCCCTCCCCAGCAAACAATTGAGGGAGATTGAAAAGTGTCAGCCCCACCAAAATGATTCTCGTAGTTTTCGCAGTCATAGTGGCAGTAGCAGTAGGAGTAGTCGTAGTAGTAGTCGTAGAAGTCGTAGTAGTCGTCGTAGTAGTCGTAGTCGTAGTCGTAGTCGTAGCAGTACTCGTGGTAGTAGTAGTAGTAGTAGTAGTAGTAGTAGTAGTCGTGGTGGTGGTAGTGGTGGTAGTGGTAGTGGTAGTAGTGGTAGTAGTAGTAGTAGCAGCAGGTGGTGATGGTGGTGGTGGTGGTGCTCGTCGTAGTAGTAGTAGTAGTAGTAGTAGTAGTCAGTAGTAGTAGTAGCAGGTGGTGGTGGTGGTGGTGGTGGTGGTGGTCATGTTTGTGTTAGTGTTAGTGTTTGTGTTAGTGTTAGTGTTAGTAGGCACTAGCAGCAAGATGGGCAGGCATGTGCAGCTCTTAAAACGGTTCAGCGAGCAATAAATGAACAATGGAAAGCTAAGCTCGGTTTTGTCCCCATGGCTCCAAGTTTGTGCATGATCCCCACCCACTAAACAATTATATATATAACCCATTCCCCCCTGGGCACTACACCCTTGAAACCTCGTTTCGAGAAATGATATCGATGAGTTTGAATAAGGGTTTTTGAACAAGGTTTTGGGGTCCGAGTTTCAGGAATCAAGCAACACCTCAAAAGAGGTTCAGCAAAGATCTCAAAGAGAAGCAATGGTTGAACAATACAAAACCAAGTCAACCTCAGATGTTTTGCCCCAAGCTCCGAAATGGCGCGCATTCTCCCACCCACGAAACAAGTTTATATATATAATAATCAATTATGTTTCATATTGTTTACATTTCCATTGGGTTTGCGTGCTACCCCCAACAAATTACATGGAGCCATGAATTGGATGAGTTCTAACAGCGAGTTTTAACAGATAAGGTTTTCAGGTCGGAGCTCCCAAAGCCTCAGAAGTGGTGGTTTTCAGGTCGGGTCTCAATGGCAACCAAGTCTAAACATCGAAAACATGTCCTTCCCAACAGCGTGTACGTCGCGTGTACGTCCCGTCCTGGGCGACAGTGAATCACCGCGACTGTGATGTTTATCTCATGTCCAAACACCTCCTTGATGTCATTTCCAGTGGTTTTTATTTCACAGAGGCGCACGATGCATGTAAAATTATTCTTAATCACAGGAAAGTGCACTTATGTTGGGGCTCTCCAGCAGCACTTTGACATTTTGCCCCAGCAAAACCACAAATTTTGAAAGTTCTTGTGACCGCCATGTTTACTTCAAAACATGGCGAGGATGAAGCAACAGTGTTCAGACCACTACACCTCTTTACCGGCGTGTCCCCACCAACAACATGGTTGCAAGCACTTGAACAACTCAAGCCTTACTTCACTGGAGCGAATACATATATTATCTATAGGATTGACATACCTGACATACCTGCTGGTGTAGGACGCTTATGAGACGCGATGCGAAGTGTCGGATGTCGGCGAAGCGATGCAACAGCAAATTGCCCCCCCCCCCCAAAGCGCAGCCGCCCCCACCCTTCCTGGGTCCCTCTTCCTCATGACCTGGCAAGTGCGAGAACATGATCACGAATGTTATGAGAACGGAAACCGACCCCAGGGATCCAGTCGTACCTTCTTAGAAGGTACTTGCACCCTCCAAACCTACATGACAGTGTCTCCAATCACCTGAGAAGGTACAGCTGGATCCCTAAGGTGAATATGTTGATTCAACGGTCCAGAGCTGCCGTGCTTGAACGTCGCTAGGTAGACGATTTGCAGTCATGACGTGAACATGTCTAGATGCCAACTTTGAGGAATGCCAACTTCGATTGGGAAGGACTTGCTGGACGACTACTATTCATGATTTGCTGGAGAGTGGACGACTACAAGCTTGGTTGTTGCCCCGCTAGAAGAAACATGTTGGTCCCAACTTGATTAGAATCACTGACGTGGCCCATGCTAGTGGGAGTGGAGGACATGAGGCCCCAACCGGACAGCAAGCTGAGGATCAAAGCAGCCTGACTACCAAGTAGCAAGGACAATTTGGAACCCACCTGAGTAGTCTGTCACGGGTTGGCAAGGTGGCCATTCTAATGTCTCAGTCTTGATTTTGATGGTGGACAGTCCACTCATCAGCGACCTTCCAGTAATAGTTTTAAATCCTTCCTTCTTGGGTGGATGTGTATTTCAATTTTGGGACCTCCCAACTCCCAACCAATGGGTCTTTTTTGCCTTGTTTTCGTTGAACTAGTCCGTCGTCGAACTGGGAGGTCTCCCTATACGCACCTACACACCCTCCAAGACACCCATTGCAATGTTGGATTTCGTCATGAGGAATACACACAGTTAACACACCCATGTTGGCTCTGAGCTGGTCTGAAGCTTCCCAGCTGGCGCTTTCAGGGCCGCACGGCTTCCACGGTGTCCCAGCTCTCCTTGTCCTCAGACATCACCGAGAAGACGTCCCTGGTCACGCACGTCTTGGGGTGATGGCGTGGTAGCGACGGATGAGTAGCGACGGATGAGTAGCATCAGTGGTAAGTTTTGGGAGGCCAGAGCCTGGAACGAACTGAGTGACAGTGCTATGTTCTTGTTTTACTTATTTTGCATTCTTTTGCTATATCATTTAATGTTTGTTTTCTTTTTAAGTTTGGGGGGGAACACCTCAGAAAAGCTTTAGCCGTGGATTTGGTTGTTTGCTTGTTTTGCGTTCTTTTTTGCGTGGTGTGGACTTTTTGAAGAATTCCTCAGGACAGGATACCATGGAAAACCTATGGGGTTGCTACTTATACCAAAGAGGGCTCACAACAACCCCTTTGGACTGAAAAAAACACCTGTGATTTTCTTGTGCCAATGGAACGCACCAGGTGTCGCAAGCCATGCGTGCAAAGGGTTTAGATGCCTTTGATGCGAAAGCTCATCACGGGGTTCTTTGAAAACCATCAGAGGTGAGCCAAGCTGTTTTGTTGTTTTTTTTGGAAAGGTCTTGCGGCATAATGCGGCACAGTCTTAGCGCAAATTCCATGGTTTGGCAAAGAGATCGCTTGCAGATGGCAGAAGTCTGCACCCGTGAAATATGGCAGAAGTCTGCACCCCGGGTCATAAATCCGTCGTCCAAAGCCAACCTCCCAAGCACCACCGATCTGACGCGTGCGTGGGGCGCGTCCGCACACCGTGTGCGGTGTTCGGTTTTGTGCGATCCCAACCCGATCGTCGTTTCGGGCGGGCGGGTGTTCCGTGCAACAAAGCGGGCCGGACGAGCATTCCTGACGGGCCAAGCTGCTCATGTTTTGCTGTCATGGTCAACAGCCTTCTCGCCTTCGAATGAGACTGCAACTTGAAGAGCAGCGCATCGAAGAGCAATGACCACCTTGTCGGTTGGACAAGCGATACTGTGTATCGCCAAGAAGGGTTTCAAGCAGGGCAGGCTCTTGGGCGGTCCAAGCAATTATCAGGCTTAAGTCTGGTGAGCAAGACTTCGGATGCGAGGCAAGACTATCAGTACCATCCTGTTTGGGTCACTTGGCTGATCAACTACCCTCCACATCCCTCCACTATTTATTGGGATTGGAACGATTGGACACGCCAGGACACCCAGAACGGATGGGTGTACCCTGAAAAGCCTTGGAGGGTGCAGGTACCTTCGGCCGACTGGAGAGGCTGGGAGGCCTTCTTTGAATCTAAAGACCCCTAGTAACCTAGTAGCTTCTTGTTCCTAGTAGCACGGCCAGGAGCCCCGTTCGTAGCGTTCTTGCTCCGTTCGTAGCGATGCGAGGAGCCCCTAGTAGCTCCCAGGCGGGGTGGACTGGCACTGACTTTTGGACGCATGCAGGACCCACACGGCACCGCACGACCCCCGCCGGTGCTGAGACGGAGGACGGACCCCCGACGCTCGGATGCGCTCAGGCTCGCTGCAGGGCAAGAGGCCAGAGCTGCTCGCCAGGTGTGGCGCTTCGAAGCCGGATCTGGCGCCCCCAACGGACCAAACAGCTGGTCGGCCCGAGAATGGCAGAGGTTCTCCGCCCCATGAGGGTTGCATTGTGTTGAACCACTCAACTGGCGATGAGCCTTCGCAACATTTGGCTCATCTTGGAGAGTTGCCCTCCTCGGAACCTGATGCGGGAATCCTTCAAGGATCTTCCCCTTGATTATGCCACAATGTAGACTCTTGATTGATGGACCACTTAATAAACCATCCCCATTTGAATTGAAACACCTCTTCATCTGGGGGGTTGCTGATCGAGAGTCTATAATCCAAGCGTTCGAATCGTCGTTATTGCAGGTTCGGAGGGCTCGACTGCCGACCTGGTCACAAAAACACAAAAACAGCCTCTCAGAGGTGTAGAAATGGGTGCCTGCCTCCGTGCTACACAATGTTCGACCGGCTAGAATCACCAAAAGAACTGAACTTAGCAATGATGGTTTCCAGGATTACACAAGGCTACACCGTGAAGAATCCACAGTGCTACAGTTGTAAAAACCATTGCAGGTACATGGTTGAGGTCCTAAAATGGATAGTTTATTTCCAAAATGAATGTTGGAAATGGACGTGTTTCCAGCAAAGCAGAATAAATGGAAGTTGAAAATGGACAGACAGGAAGATGGAAGTTGAACATCAATTCTGCAGTGCTCCCACCACAACATGCTTTGTCAGCAACTGTCAGCAAGTTCTTTTTTCCTCGCGATGGAGGGGTATGTGTGAGGATTAGCCTGCAGTCGCCGCCAAAAAAGGTAAGAGCCCTTCTGACAATGTGTAGCAGTGTAGTGTAGAATAGAAGGCTTACACGTAAGGGTAGAAGTGCTACACAAGCATACCTCATATAGCAGTAATATAGCACACAACCGCAAACCAACATGATCAGGGTGGTGATTATTTAAGTAGGGCCCCAGGCTACCAACGGGCTCAATGGACTGCTTTGGGAACAAAGCCTCATTTGACGTATCGACTGCGACAAATCACAAATCGCCACATGATGCTACATGATGCTACATGATGCTACATGTACACACTGGTTTCCAGGATTCACTCCACTGTCGGGCCGAGTCCGCCGAGTCCGCCAAAGAGCCGGCCTCCGTCCGGCGACGCCTGAAGAGGCCGAAGGCGCTGGTCCGAAGACCGCCGTGGCCCGGCAGCCCGGTCAGAGGGAGACCGGTCCGAAGGTCTAAGGATGATAGGAAGTGAAGGTCTAAAGGTTGTGGGGCTGGGAAGCGTTTGTTTGGAGAAGCTGGTTAGCTTGGTTAGTGGGAGGCAAGTGTAGTGGAGCAGTTGGGTGGTTTGCAGGAAAGCCTCATGGGCTGGGAAGTTGCCAAGTGGTTGGTAGTTCTATGCAACTCCCTGCCGACCACATGTCAAGTCTCGAAGACAAGATCTTGATTCGTTGAAGTGAGCCACCCAAAAACAAACAAAAACAAAAAGGGGTTTCGCATAAGTATGGCAAACCCTAAGAGATCCTGAGAGAGCAACAAAACTCAAGGTGCTGCTTCCCAGAGCAGTGTACGTTTGTGTGTGTTACTTTTTTCCCACTGTATTCGTTTTCGCCACCACCCTAACCACGGCCGCCACTGTCACCTTGTGTTTTCCTTTCCGAAATCCATTCCTGGGCCAGAAGTTTTGGAAGTTTAGTATGAAGGAGCGCGTGCTACAGACCCTATTTTGATACACTCTCACTCGATGAGGGGGGCATGCAAGTCAAGATCCCGCATTGAAAAAAGTCACACTTCAGCACTGATGAGATCCCGCATGGCTGGCGAGACGCTTCGTTGCGCAAACGATGCGTCTCGGCGTCTCGCCTAGGATGCTCCAGATGTGCCACCAGACCTTCCGGCTGAGGACTGAGCACTGGCCTCTGCTGGGCGTGGGATGATCCTCCCTGCCAGAATCAGGGTCACGTGGATGGCCCCTGGGAAGATGGATGGCCCCTGGGTTTGTTCCACGGGCTCCACAGCTCTTGGAGTTTCAGTGGTTGTGGATGTTCCAACGGCTGACCGTCGACCCTTTAACAAGGTGATGAATAGATGGCACACAGTTTGGCACGCAATCACCCCTGCCAACTGGACCACTTGAGATGGGTGGGCATGGATAGTAACATGCGCCTCTTGGAGCAAGGAATTACCGTGCCATCTACTTGGAAGCCCATTCTTGGCTTGCACCAATTTCCGGAATTTGATGCCTTGGAAGGCCGAGGAAACAGGTATAGCATGGTATTGTATAAATGGTATGACTTGCAACTATAACTATAACAGGTATGTTTTTCACTTAGTGGATGCCCAATGTTTGGCAAGAGAAATAGAATCCACAGTGGTTTCAGAGTAGATTCCACAAACACCAAGATGTCTTTTGCAAGGGGGTCCATATAAACCACCTCTCGGGGATTGTGCCATATACTCTGAGACCACTGGAAGCATGTTCTCCGTGAGTAGCTTTGCATGCTCAGCGAGTGAACTGTTCCACTGAGACAAGATACTGCAGTGCGGTTATTTTTTTGCTGCCAACCTAGAAGCGATGGCCTCCACACTAATAGCGATGGCCTCCAACCTACTATAGCGATGGCCTCCACACTAATAGCGATGACCTGCAACCTGCTAGCGATGGCCTCCACCCTAAAAGCGATGGCCATCAACCCACTAGCGATGGCCTCCACCCTAATAGCGATGGCCTCCAACCTACTATAGCGATGGCCTCCACACTAATAGCGATGGCCTCCAACCTACTATAGCGATGGCCTCCACACTAATAGCGATGGCCTCCAAC